CCAGTTTGTTTTGGCAAACATTAGTTCACTTAACTCTATTACCATGGGTGAACAAATTACTTAAATCGCTGATATAAATATATAGTAAAATATCGTTTGAAATATAGGCTGACAGACAGTGTCCGATCAAAATTATTTATCACTGTATAGAAGAATTTCTCATCAAATTAAATTTTAACACATCCCTGACAGTGACAATATGACATACTTCAGACGATTTCGACCAACACTTACCATACAGTAGAGCGAATGGCGAGTTGATTTTTAGTAATAAGGATGTTGGAAATGATGTTATAATTTAGGTATAATTGATAAGTTGGTGATAATAGTTTTTTTTTTAATGTTAAGTAATCACTCAAGTTGCCAATTGGTAATAAATTTTAAATCTCTCGGCATTATGTAATTTAATAATAATATTATAAGTCTAATATAGAATGAATAGTGTTATTACAGTTGTATTATAGTTTTTGAAATTAATTAGTCTTTTTTCGCCGCCAAGTAAGTGGCTAATCTTTTATACCTTTAATTATTCCAAAATAATTGCGTAGTCTTAAAATTTTACAGTTCTTTTGAAACAAGTTGAATAATTATTTATACTTGACCTTAGTTCTTAGAAAATTGATGGTTAAAATTTACTTTGTAATTTTTCTAAGTTAGGTAAGTACAGCTATAATAAAATTGAAATATAAAAACTATAGTTTATTCATAACTTAGATGATTCAAAGTTCCAGTTGAAATATATTTTAAAATCAATTCAAAGTTTTTAACAAAATGATCAAAACAGTATGAAATCAGGATTTTGATTTAGGATTTAATAAAAAAATATATATATAATTATCTATATTGTATTTTATTTTGGAGACTGGGTTTTAACTTTTAAAAGCTATATAATAATTTTCAGAGAAGTTTTTACTTATACACGTAGTATATACATTATACATAATATATATGTAAGTATATACTATAGTAATAGCTAGGCAGCAAGCTTTATGAAACACCATATTATTACTGAAAAAAAGTAATGTAGGTATCTCTGAACTTTATTATAAATTTATATAAATTATATAGATRGTAGATATTATTAATATAAATAAACCGATATATTATATATATAGTATCTAAAATATAAAATTTGAACATTTTGAATTCAAGGATTGAAATCAAAATAAAATTTCTATAATATAATAACTATAATTATTTTAGTTTATCAGTCACTTTTGGGCTATAACTGGAATCGCATTTTAAATTCCAATAAGCGACTGTTTTTTCTGCTCTATATAAGTAATACGCGTAAATAAAAGCAACTGTGATTGCGATTTATAATAATATAAAAAAAATACTGTAAATTATGTTCAAGCGTTTGTTATACAAAATATCATGCAATTTACCTGTTTTGCGTTCCATTTGTTTCGAGCTTGTACAATTGCATCTTGGGCATGGGAAATACTCTGGAAATCGTACAAGATATATTCACCATGTCTTGGTCGTTGGCTTTGGTGCGTTTCATGTGCATATGTCGGCCAGGCGCTATGAAACGAAAAACAAACGGTAGATAAGTCGTAAGTACCTACGTATCAATATTAGACTTTAARACGAAGTTTGTATGTGAATAATAATATTATATCAATATACACATCGTTTGTACCAATATTTAAAACCGTTAGATTTTTCAAGATGGTCATAGGGATACTATTTGCATACCTATATATAGTATTATTACTATTATTACATCAATATTCTAGCCACCACTGAATTACGAAATAATCTATAAAAACTAAAAAGTTTGATTTTCAAGAGTTTCAGCCACTAAAAAATGCAATATATTCATCCATTCTTCTTCTATATACAATATAGGTATAGGGCTGCACAGATTCGTATTATTTTCCTAATTACATCGTTTTTTATTGCATTAATCAAAATGTTTGAGCCTTAAACCGTTATGCTTGGTTACAATTATTATAATTACACTACACGAAACTCCTACATTCGTCAAAACTATACCTTATATGGTTTTAAGATCGACGTAAATAATATTATGAAATTATTACTGTTTTATAAAAAGAAAAAATTATCGGCACGATTTTGTTTATCGTCGAAATCCATGAAATCCATCATACTTAGGATCTCTATTTTTTTCTGCGTCTTATTAGCATATCACACAGTTAACAGACACGCCGAAAGCTGATGCATGAAAGTTAAAATATATTATGAAAACCATAATGCGTATAATATTTAATAATATGTAGGTAC